CCTCACAATCTATGTCTTCGCCTTCAACATCGTCTATGTGGCCCTCAGTGAGTATGCAGGGCAGTGTCTGTTGTTGGCATGGGAGAGAGGAAGACTTGAGGACAGCTTTGGGGATCAGTTGGGTTTTCTGGTGGGACTTTTACCATTGTGGAGGTACCTTAGGACTGGTTTAGAAATGAGTGCTACCATCTGCTCTTGAGCAGGGCTGCAGACCTGAGGTCACATCAGTATTTCCTGAGTGAGTTGGCCTTTTTGCTGGGCCTCTGCTTGAGATTGGGACCATAATTACTGGTCCAGATCTAGAGTGCAGGTGACCCGAAAGATTGGGGGTGTACTTTGGCTCTGTGCATCCTCCTCTCTTCTTCTGCCTTGTGCTAGATGGTAAAAGGGGTTTCACCAGAGAAATACCTTTTAGTATCTCATGGTCCACTTTGGGAGCTAGAAATACACACCCACACACAGGGTAATCTAAGGACAGATATGAGGTTAAGGAAGTGGCCTTAATCAAGATAGCTTACTGGAAAGAGAAGAGTTCCGAGCTGGATTTTGAACAAGGGAGGGACAAAGATCGATGAATAAAGAGGATTTTCTTGGCTATTTCTGATTTCTTTCACCTGTTAATATCCCCTTACAATGTCCAAAGTTAGGGCCTGGGGGAAAGAGAAGGGAGCCCAATGCTTGGCTTCTGCCTGATTCTCTAGTTCAGTGCCTGGTCCTGCATTGGAAATGTGGCTCTTCCATCACGAGACTGGCAGCCCTGAGCTGAGACTCTTCACCCTTACCCGAGTCGGAGCTTCTCTCTTGCCAGTGTGTAACACAGGCTAGGTAGAGAAGGAAGTGAGTAGGCACTAGGATAGTGTATAGTTTTGACTGAAGTCACTAATTTTTCTCTCTGCTCCTCCTCCCAATTTCACAGAATCCCTGAAAATTGGCTTCCTGGAGACGTTGAAAGAAACTCCTGGAACATATCCTCCCCTGGCAGTATGTGCCCATGAAGTCTTTTTAAACTATTTCCCAGCACGCTTTCTCCCTATAGTTCTTCCCCCAGCTAGTTTTTCACCCATCAGAGAGTACCAAAGTATAAAATTTTAAAAGCACAATCTTAGTGGTGTCAACCAGAATGGCAGATGACTAGGGCTCAAGGGGAGGGCTTTCTTTTTTTTTTGGAGAGGTTTTTTTTTTCATTTTTTTTTCGCTATAGGGTGTGTGCGCTTGCCAGACAGGCAGAGAGAGACATAGAGACAGAAAGCGGGAAATCATCCCCCGGGGGGATGGCCACGCCACAATCCCTTCTCCTCCATTCTCCTCTCGGGATCTTGGGCACGCACGCACACACGCCCGGCGCGCGTTTTAAGCCACCAGGTCTGGGTCTTGAACTGTGGTCGACTACATGGGAGTTCAGTGACATAGCCATTACGCTAACTGCTGGTCCTTCCTCTCAGGATCTTGGGCATGCATGCACATGTGCCTGACGTGAGTTTAAGCCACTAGGTCTGGGACTCGAACCATGGGAGTCCAGCTACATAGCCATTATGCCAACTGCTGGTCCCAGTATAATGTGTATTTTTTTGATGGGACTTCAGTGACATTGATGGCCAACATTGTTTAGCTTTGGCCTTCTCCTAAACACCCCCTTCAAAAAGTCAGTGATGAGTAAATACGCAAACACTTAAAGACACTAGAAGGGCTAGAGATCTACCTATAATGAGTAAACAGATCTTTTACCTCTCATAAGGGTATCTGCAGTGTGTTTAGAATTCATCTGCTGTTAGATATAGATAGGGCTTTTTGTGATATATGTTCCAGGAGGTAAAGATATTGTGACTGGTGCCGTGATATGGGCTGAGGCATCGAGTCTCCCCTGTTGTGGCTTCTTCAGCATTCCTTAACCTCACCTCACTGTCCTAGAAGTCCTCATTTGCTTCTTCACACTCTGGTCCGTCGTGGGACTGACTGGATTTCACACCTTCCTCGTGGCTCTCAACCAGACAACCAATGAAGATGTGAGTCAACTTTCTCTTCTCATCACATATTCCTTTTCTCCCAAAAGTCATTCTCTTGCTATCTGCTAGACGACTGAGTCTCCGGGGCCTACGAGATTGAGGCAAGCAGAAGCCTGGCCTGGGAGACTATGAGATCAGATGCGTGAAAGAGGAAGCAGACTCTGTCTGGAGCTGAATGCCTGCAGAGTGTTAGGAAAAAGAGGTCGAAAACTTGGGTGGGTACAAGGTCTTTAACTAGGTATAAGTCCTTCAAGGCTAGGTGGTACTTCTGGATTTGGAATGGAGAGACAATTCACTGAATAAATCCTTCCTTTTTTTATTTTATGAGTTCTTATTTACCTGCAATCATTATACATCTCTATAATGCACAATATGGTGTTTCCAAGTATCCTTGAAGTACATGACAGTAAGAGCAAGAGTAGTATCATATACATCGCTGTTTTTTAGAAAGATTTTTGCTATAGGACACACACGCTTGCTGGAGAGACAGAGAGAGACAGAGAAACAGAAAGTGAGAAATCACCCCCCAGAGGGGATGGCCAAGCCGCAGTCCTTTCTCCTTCATTCTTCTCGCGGGATCTTGGGCACGCACACACACACTCCTGGTGTGAGTTTTAAGTGGCCGGGCCTGGCACTGACACCGCAGTTGACTATGTGGGACTACAGCAGACTTAAGCATTATGCCATCGGCTGGTCCCATCATATTCATCATTTTCAACAGAGAGCTTTACATTCTTGTATCTGTTAAGTATTTCTTTCCAAGCAATTTAAGGGCCTAGCTGTGGTGACACACTAGGCTACACCCAAGTGTAGCACCACCACTTGGGAGGCTGGAAACTGCATGGGAGGCATGGGCTTGGTTTCTAGGCCAACATGAACATGCTAGGTGTGTTACATGCACCTGTATTCCTGGCTAATTGGGAGTTTGAGGCAGGAGGATTGCAATACAGCAAGACTCTGTCAAAAAAAAAATACCTATTTCTGTCTCTCTTCCACCAGCCCCTCCCTCCCTCCCTCCCTCCCTCCTTCCTTCCTTCCTTTCTTTCTTTCTTTCTTTCTTTCTTTCTTTCTTTCTTTCTTTCTTTCTTTCTTTCTTGTTTTTTGTTTGGTTGGTTTTATTTTTTTGTGCCATAGGGTACATGTGTTGCTCGAGAGAGAGAAACAGAGAGATGGAAAATGAGAAATCACCCTCCAGGAGAGAATGGCCATGTCACAGTCCCTTCTCCTCTGTTTTCCTCTTAGGATCTTGAGCACATACGCATGCACGCTTGGTGTGATTTTTCAAGCTGCTGAGTCCAGACTCAAACTGTGATTGACCATGTGGGAGCCCAGCGCCTTAACCACTATACACCATCTACTGGTCCCATCAACCCCTCTTTCATAAAGGAAAAAAAAAGTAGTTTAAAAATTGCTTATTGGGATTCTGAAAGTAAATCCTGCTTTGAAGTAGCAGTATAAAATTTGGTAAATGGATTACCAGTTAATCTACATTCATTGTAGAAAAATCAGAAAATACAGAGAAATAAAAAAAGAGAAAATAAATCCTTTCAACTTTATCTCCTAGACGTCACCTTTGTTATCAGTGTGATTTACAGTCTTCTAGACTTGTCTAGACTTGTTCCCATGTTTGTTTATGTGTATGTATTATGTGTTTTAAAGTAAAAATAGTGCATATTGTTCAGTCAACTGCTTTTTTCACACTACCGTGAACATTTTTCATGACTATATAGGTATTTTTTTATCATAATGAAATACACAATATAAAATGTGCCACCTTATCTGTTTGTAATTGTACAGTTCTGTGGCATTCAGTACATTCCCATTGTGTGTAGCCATTACCATCCTCCATCTTCAGAACTTTTCCATCATCCCATGTATTTCTTCAAGTTTTTTTTTAAGAGACACATTTGCTATAGGGCGTGTGCACTCTCCAGAGAGATAGAGAGACAGAAAGCGAGAAATCACCCTCCAAGGGGGATGGTCACACCCCAGTCCCTTCTCTGTTCTCCTCTTGGGACTTTAGGCATGCACACACACGTGCCCAGCATGAGTTTTAAGCCTCCGGGTCCAGAACTTGAACTGCCGTCAACTAATGTGGGAGTCCAACAGCATAACCATTACGCCATCTGCTGGTCCCACTTCAAGATACTTTTAACAGAAGCCTTGGTTTTTATCTTGCAGATTAAAGGATCATGGACAGGGAAGAATCGTGTCCAGAATCCCTATAGCCATGGCAACATTGTGAAGAACTGCTGTGAAGTGCTGTGTGGCCCCTTGCCCCCCAGGTACTCAGGGGACTAAAAAGTCCTGAGATCTTAGTGTGAGCAACTCACGTTAGCTCATCTGCTACATTTTTTAGAATACAGCCTCTTGATGTCAAATAGGTCTTCCCAGGGATTGTCCCTTCGTGCTATATCTACATGGACCACAGACCTTGGGCTAGTTGTTTTGATGAAATGATCTTTCATTCCTATTGTACAATACTTGTTTGTTCTCTGGTTATTGTGGAATTCCCTGGTTTTTAGAAGAAAAAGTGAGTGGAAAATAGGAGATGTGTGCTAGGATCAGGCTAGGTTGCCAAAGGACAGGTTTGTATTTTTCAATATACACAGCAAGGTTCAGCGGGCTAAATGGGTGGATGGGTGAATGCCATGTCTTTATTAACCCCTCCCATGTCCTTCAGTGTACTGGATCGAAGAGGCATTTTGCCGCTAGAGGAAAGTGGAAGTCGACCTCCCAGTACTCAAGAGACCAGTAGCAGCCTCTTGCCACAGAGTCCTGTAAGTGTTACTGACTTACGACTGGGTTGGTGATAGGGTGCAGGCTAATTTTACAACTTAAAAATACAGTAAGACAATTTTGTATCCTAATCATGCCAGCTTCTCCATGTCTGCTTCTGCCCTGACATTGCCTTCAGATCTTTGTGCCCTTGCAGTAGGTTAAGATTCATTCCTTTCTTTGACACTCTTTGAGCAGCTACTGTGTACCAGACACGGTGCTAGGTGCTGGGGGTATACCAACAGCAAGGCAAATGGTGTCCCTGCTCTCAAGGAGCTTAATATCTAGTGGGAATGAGAGACAAGAATATAGGGCAGTGCTCGACACTGTGCAAGTTTCTTTCTTTCTTTTTTTTTTTTTTTTTTGGAGGGGTTTTTTCTATAGGGTGTGTGCGCGCCCGCCAGAAAGACAGAAAGAGACAGAGAGACAGAAAGCGAGAAATCACCCCCCAGGGGGGATGGTCACGCCGCAATCCCTCCTCCTCCATTCTCCTCTCGGGATCTTGGGCACACATGCACATGTGCCCGGCGTGAGTTTTAAGCCACTGGGTCCAGAACTCAGACCACGGTCGACTCCATGGGAGTCCAGCGACATAGCCATTACACTAACTGCTGGTCCCCTGTGCAAGTTTCTTGATGAGGGAAGCATAAAATGCTGAAGGAGCCAAGATAACGCTAAGGGTTGGAATGAGCCAGGTAACCCTTGGTAGAAGGGGAGTTCCTCTCTGAAATATGCAGATGTTGTGGGAATTCTGACAACGGTCCAGCTCAAGATGTACTTCATAAATTATGTTCCTAAAAAGTTGTCATTTGAACTTTCTTTTTTTTCTCTTAAGAGCTTTATTGAGATATGATTCACATTCAGTACAATACGTATTTAAAAGGTGCGATTCACCAGTTTGTAGTATAATCACAGAGTTGTGCAGTCAGTACAGCAGTCATTTTTAAAACATTTCCTTTATGCCCTTCAAGAAACCCTGTACTCATTAGCAGTCATTCCCCTTTTCCCCCCAGCTCTCATAGCCCCATCCCATCCCTAGGCAATCACTAATCTAGATTGTGTCTGTGTAGATTTGCCTTTTCTATACATTTCATATAAAAGTAATCATAAAATATGTGGTCTTTTGTGACTGACTTCTTTCACTTAGCATATTTTCAAGGTTCTTCCATGTCGTAGCATATAGTAGTACTTAATTACTTTATATGGTCAAATATCCCATTGTATGTATGTAACACATTTTATCATTTATCCATTGATATTACAAAGCTGTGATAGTCAAAACAGCATGGTATTGGCACAGAAATAGACATGAGGACCAATGGAACAGAGTAGAGACTCCAGAAATAAACCCCAAAACATACAGTCAACTCATCTTTGACAAAGGGTACCAGTCAAACCACTGGGAAAAGGGAAACCTCTTTAGCAAATGGTGTTGGAAAAACTGGGTATCCACCTGCAGAAAGATGAATCTGAACCCTTATCTGTCACCGTTACCAAAAATCAACTCAAAATGGATCAAAGATCTAAACCTAAGACCACAAACTATAAAACTACTGATGGAAAACAGTGGGGAAACTCTGGGAGACATTGGGGTAGGCAAAGATTTCTTAAGCAAGACCCCTAAAGCACAGGCAATAATTCCCCAAATAGATAGGTGGGATTACATCAGATTAAGGGGTTTTTGCACAGCAAAGGACACTGTAATGTAAATCGACCACCCTCAGAATGGGAGAGAATTTTTAACTGTGCCTTAGATAAGGGACTGATAACCAGAATACACGGGGAACTCAAGCAGTTTACCTGGAAGAAAATGATTAATCCAATTAAAAGATGGGAAAATGAGCTGAATAAACAACTCTCTAAGGAAGACATATGAACAGCCAAAAAGCATATGAAAAAATGCTCAACATTTCTCATTGTAAGGGAAATGCAGATCAAAACCACAATGAGATACCACCTAACCCCAGTCAGAATGACGAAGATTAAAAAAAACAAATAATGACAAGTGCTGGAGGGGATGTGGTGAAAGGGGAACACTCCTACACTGTTGGTGGGAATGTAAATTGGTCCAGCCACTGTGGAGAATGATACGGAGGTTCCTCAAAGACCTCCAAATAAAACTACCATATATGATCCAGCAATTCCACTCCGGAGTATCTACCCAAAGGACAGGAGAGCACTCAGTTAGAAAAGCGCTTGCACAACTATAATTCACTGCAGCCTTATTCACGATTGCTAAGACATGGAACCAACCCAAATATTCACAAACAGATGAATGGATTGGAAAATTGTGGCACATATACTCCATGGAATACTATTCAGATGTTTGGATTGTTTCTATCTGTTGGGTATTCTGAATAATACTGCTATAAACATTCATGTATAAATTTTTGCATGGACGTATCTTTTCATTTATCTTGGCTGTGTACCCGGAAATAAAATGACTAGTCTAATGGTAACTGTGTTTAGCCTTTTGAATAACTGGTGGCTACCCCAGTTTATATCCTTATTAGCAGTATATGAGGATTCCAGTTCCTCTTTATCCTTGGCAACACTTACTATCTGGCATTTTGATTCTAGCCATCTTAATAGGTATAAAGTTGTATATAACAGTGGTTTTCTTTTATTTTTTTAAATTTTCTTCCTTTCTTTATTTGAGAAATAGCACCCCCAATGGGATCCCGATGCTGGCTTCCACCCCTAACCTTTAGCTAGCCCTAGATTATGGGCAAGTGCATGCTCGGCATACTCAGGGAGGTCTCTGGACATGAACCTAGAACCTTCCCATGTGAGTCAAACATTCATGTATAAATTTTTGCATGGACGTATCTTTTCATTTATCTTGGCTGTGTACCCGGAAATAAAATGACTAGTCTAATGGTAACTGTGTTTAGCCTTTTGAATAACTGGTGGCTACCCCAGTTTATATCCTTATTAGCAGTATATGAGGATTCCAGTTCCTCTTTATCCTTGGCAACACTTACTATCTGGCATTTTGATTCTAGCCATCTTAATAGGTATAAAGTTGTATATAACAGTGGTTTTCTTTTATTTTTTTAAATTTTCTTCCTTTCTTTATTTGAGAAATAGCACCCCCAATGGGATCCCGATGCTGCATTCCACCCCTAACCTTTAGCTAGCCCTAGATTATGGGCAAGTGCATGCTCGGCATACTCAGGGAGGTCTCTGGACATGAACCTAGAACCTTCCCATGTGAGTCAGCCTCACAGAGCATCACATTTTACCTCTGCTCTACCATCTGGCCTCTCAGAGTGGTTTTGATTTAAATTTCCATTGATGATTAATGATGATGAACATATTTTCGAGTGCTTGTTGGCCATTTTGTATATCTTCTTTGGGGAAGTGTCTATTCAGATTCCTTGTCTGTTTTTATGTTTTAGTTTCTTTCTCTCTTCTGAGAGAGAGAGAAGAGAGAGAGAGAATGCCCAACAAGGTTTTGTTGCTGTGTGTACTCCCAGCCTTCAGTCAGCCCTGGATCTTGGGCAAACACATATTTAAGGTTCCCTAGACTGGGAACCTTCTCGTGGAATTTTCTTGTAGAGTATCATGTTTTACTGCCGTACCACTGCCTAGTTCCCCTTTGTCCATTTTTAAATTGGGTTATTTCTTCTTTTTATTGCTGAATTTGAAGAGTTCTTTAATGTATATATGAGTCCCTTATCAGATACATGATTTGTAAATCTTTTTCTCCCACTGTATATTATTTTTTTTTTTTTTTTTTTTTTTTTAGATTTTTGTCCATAGGGTGCATGCACTTGTTGGAGAGACATAGATACTGGGAAAGTGAAAAATCACGCTCCAGGGAGAATGGCCACATTCCCTTCTCCTCCATTCTCCTTTTGGGATTTTGGGCACACATGCACATGCACCAGTGTGTTTTTCAAGTTGCCAGGTCCAAGACTCAAACTGCAGAGTTGGCCATGTGGGACCTAGTACTTTAACTACCATGCCACCTGCTGGCCCTTATGTGGATTGTCTTTATACTTTTTTTCTACAGAGAGATTTTGCTATAAGGTGCATAGAGAGACAGAGAGAGACAGAGAGACAGAAAGCAAGAACCCTACCCCCCGGGAGGATGGCCATGCTGCAGTCCCTTCTCCTCCATTCTCCTCTAAAGATCTTGGGCATGCATGTACACATGCTTGGCATGAGTTTTAAGCTGCTGGGTCTAGTACTTGAACTGCAGTCAACTACATGGGAGACCAGTGACATAACCACTACACCATCTGCTAGTCCCAGGTTGTCTTTTTACTTTTTTGATGGTGTCTTTTTATGAAGTTTAATTTATCCATTTTTCCTTTTGTTGCTTGTGCTTTTGGTATCATATTTATAAAACTTATTCCAGGTCATGAAAATTTATCCTTCTGTTTTCTCATAAGAGTTTTATAGTTTGGGAACCAGCAGTTAGCATAATGGCTATGTCGCTGGACTCCCACATAGTTGACTGCGGTTTGCGTCCCGGACCCGGTGGCTTAAAACTCACACCGGGCGCGTGTGCGTGCATGCCCAAGATCCCGAGAGGAGAATGGAGGAGGAGGGATTGCGGTGTGACCATCCCCCCTGGGGGGTGATTTCTCGCTTTCTGTCTCTATGTCTCTCTCTGTCTGTCTGGCGAGCACACATGCCCTATAGCGAAAACCTCTCAAAAAAAAAAAGTTTTATAGTTTTAGTTCTTACATTTAGGTCTCTGAACCATTTTGAATTAATTTTTACATATGGGGGCTGGATGGGAGCACAGCCCTAAAATGCGACATTCTTTCAGGCTGATTTATGTGAAAAGGTTCTGAATTTGTGTCCAGAGACCTCTCCAAGTACACTGGACATGTGTGTGCCCATGATCTGGGGCTGTCTGAAGCTGGGGGTTGATCATACATCAGGAACCTGTTGGGGGTTCTCTTTCTGTTTCTCCCAGAAGAAATAAATAAGCATTAAAAAAACCAACTTTTTGCCCAGCTCCATCAGCTCCATGACTAGTGTTTAAGGCAGCTGAATCCCAGATGCCTGACTGCATGATTGAAGTTCCAGATTCAACAGCTTGAAGAACACACTGGGCGCTTGTGCTTGTGTGCCCCAAATCCCCAAAGATGGAGATATGAGATGTATGTGGGGGAGTGTAGCATGACCATTTCCCATGAAGGAATGCCTTCTCCCTCTTCCTCTCCTTCTGTCTCTCTCTGCTGAAGGCATATGCCCTCTGGCAAAATTTTTGAAAAAAAAAAAGAAAGAAAGAAACCTTTTGTAGGTGATAGGTTGCCACTGTGCAATACTGAAGCCATATGGGAGTTTAGGTCCTGGGTTAACCTGAACACCACAGGTGCACCCAAGGGCTTGCTTGTAATCCTGTCTGTCTGAGAGGCTGGGAGAAAGGGAATATAGCATGGCAAAATCCCGTCTGGGCTCCCCTCACCTCTTTCTCTTTCTCTCTCTCTCTCTTGAGAAAAAAATAAAATTAACCTTGAAAAAATGTTTTACATATGGTGTGAGGTAAGGGGCTCACATTATGTCTTTGTATGTGGCTATCCAGTTGTCTCTGTACCATTTGTTGAAAAGACTATTCTTTTTCATGGAATTGTCTTGGCACTCTTGCCAAAAACGTGTGAGTTTGTTTCTGGACTCTCAGTTTTATTCTATTGATTAATATGTCTGTTCTTATGCCAGTACCATCCAATCTTGGTTATTTTAGCATTGTAGTAAGTTTTGAAATTAGGAAATGTGAGTCCTCTGACTCTTTTTTTCCCACAGTTGTTTTGACTATTCTGGATGTTTGAATTTACATATCCATCATTGGACCAGCTGGTCATATTTGCAAAGAAGCCAGCTGGTACTTTGATGGAGGTTGCATCGAATCTATAGATCAATTTGAGGAATATTGGCATAACAAAATTAAGTCTTCTGAGCCATTATCATGGGCTGTCTTTTTGTTTTGTTTTTGAGTTTTTTTTCTATAGGGCGCATGTGCTTGCCAGAAAGATAGAGACAGACAGAAAGCAAGAAATTGCTTAGCCGTCCCCAGGGGGAATAGCCACGTTGCAATCCCTTCTCTTCCATTCTCCTCTTGGGATCTTGGGCACGCACACACACATGCCCGGCATGAGTTTAAGCCACCAGGTCCGGGACTCGAACCACAGTCAACTGCATGGAAGTCCAGCGACATAGCCATTACTCCAACTGCTGGTCCCTTGCTGTCTTTTCATTTATTTAGGTCTTTAATTTCTTCCAACACTGTTTTATGGTTTTCAGAATATTCATTTTACACTTCTTTTGTTAAATTTATTCATAAGTATGTTTCTTTTTCTGATGAAATTGCTTGCCTCATTTTACTTTTGGATTATTTAGAAGTATATAGAGGGGCCATCAGGTGACATAATGACTAAGGTGCTGGACTCCCACATGGCTGATCATTGTTCAAGTCCTGAACCTGGCAGTTTGAAAAATCATACTGGGCTCATGTGCATGCATGCCCAAAAATCCCAGGAGGAGAGTGGAGAAGAGATTGTGGCATGGCCATTGTCCCGGGGGGATGTTTTCTCACTTTCCCTCTCACGGTCTCTCTCTGTCTCTCTCTGGCAAATTCACATGCACCTTAGGGCAAAATCCTTAAAAAAAAGTATTTAGAAATATAATTCACTTTTGTATATTGATCTTGCATCCTGAAACCTTGCTGAGCTTGTTCATTAGTTCTAGTAGATGTTTAGTTTATTTGAACGTTGTTTTAAAATAAAATCCTACTTTTAAGTAGGATTTTTAAGGTAGATAATGTTCTCTACTTTGCCTTTCCTAAATTTTGAATTTTCTTCTTAAAGTATGGCACACATATGTTCTTATATTATTGTCATTCTTGTGAATATTGTTTTTCTGATGAGTCTGGTCTCAAACCATAACAATTTAGATGAGTGATTCTCAGTCGAATGTGAACAAGGGTGGTATTTTAGAATCACTTAGAGGGCTCTTTCTTTCCTCCCTTCCTTCCTTTTGCCAGAGTGCACATGTGCTTGTTGGGGGTGGGGAGAGAAAGTAAGAGAGCACACCCATGAGGGACAGTCTCATCGCAGTCCCCTCTCCTCTGCCTCTCACTCCCTTTAGAAGGCTGGGCATGTACACACATGTACCCAACATGTTTTTCAAGCCACCAGGCCCAGGACTGTGCAGTTGGCCATAGAGGACATTTTCAAACCACATATGATCATCTGAAAATTTTGATATCCACCTTCTTTATTTTAGAATTGCTGCTCTAATGAGTCATGTGTTGGGGCAGAAACAGGATTGAGAACCATTGGGATAGGCCTTGTTAGAGTAGTATATTATAAAGTGTTGTTATGGAGGAGTGAAGTGGGGGGCCGTGTAACTATTTGTGGTCCCTATTATTATTATCCTGAGTAATAATGGAATACGTGTCCACAACAGATGGTTCAGGACAGAGTGTGCGTAAACTTCAGCTTGCATGCTGCTGAGAAGACAGTCGCCTGGGCTGGGGTCTGAGTTTGTGTTGGCGGTTGCGTGTCTGCAGCATCAGCGTGGTCAGGGGGTTCAGGGGAAGAGTTTAGGGTTTGCGGACTATTTCCACTTGGATCTTGAGAGACACCTTTGTGTTGAATTTGATATCTTCTCCTTCTCAGGCCCCAACAGAACATCTGAACTCAAATGAGATGCCGGAGGACACCAGTACTCCCGAAGAGATGCCTCCTCCGGAGCCCCCAGAGCCGCCACAGGAGGCGACTGAAGCTGAGAAGTAGCCTCTCTGTGGAAGAGACTTTTGTTTGTGTTTAATTAGGGCTATGAGAGATTTCAGGGGAGAAGATAAACCTGAGACAGAGAGCAAGTAAGCTGTCCTTCTTACCGTTTTTCTTTGGTCTTTAGTCACCCAGTTGCACTCTGGCATTTTCCTGCTGCAAGCTTTTTTTTAATTTCTGGACTCAAGGCAGTAGCAGAAGATGTCAGTCACCTCTGAAAACTGGACAAATGGGTCTCTGGGACCCTGGCACTGGTTTTCCATGGCCTCAGCCACAGGGTCTCCTTAAACTCCCGTCTCTTCCTTCCAGATCCCAGCTCTCCTGCTTGGGGTCATTGGTCTCAAGAACCTAACGGTTCTTGAGACTAGCTCAAATGCTCTTAAGCCGCTGCATACCCCAGATCCAGAGGCAGGCACAGAGACCTCTAGCCAGGGAATCCAAACTGGGTTCTGAGGTCCCTCAGAATTGACAAGGACAGAGAGTGGGGTTGGAGGATGCTCCTGGCTACGAAGTGCCAGCATTGCCAGCTAATCCTTTTAGGAATAGGGCAGGTACCTTCCCCTTGTTGTATTTATTCGTGTGGTCCCTCCTTCGTCCCCGTCCAATCTGACACCCAGCCGCACTCTTCCCATTAGGTATATGTGAGTAGTTGTAGTAGAGATAACAATTCACATTTCTTGTAGACTCCCCAGGAACTCTGTAATACCTGTGCCGTTCTCAACAAGACTTTCGGAGATGCCGACGGCATAGCCCTCACTCTCTGTCTCATCTCTCCTCCTTCCTCATTAGCCCCTTTTCATTTTTCTCCTTTTGACTCTTGCTCCCATGAGGAGCAGAATGGCAGTAATAAAAGTCTGCACTCTGGTGTTTCCTTTTCCTCAGAGGAAGTCCGAGTGCTCACTTAAACACTACCCCCTCAGACTCCCTGTGTGAGGCCTGCAGAGGCCCTGAATGCACAAATGGGGAAACCAAGGCACAGAGAGGCTCTCCTCTCCTCTTCTCTCCCCCTATGTCCCCTCAAAAACAAAAAAGAATAAAAAAGGCTAACTAGTACTTCCATTAAGCCTCGGCTGAGTGAGGGAAAGCCCAGTACTGCTGCCCTCCTGGGGAACCCACTCCAAGGCCTTGGCCCACCTCGGGCTATAGGAACCACACTGGGGGCTGCCCCCCTCTTCCAGCACTTCCCCCGGCAGAGTCCTCGAGCCGCTTCACCCTGGGGGTGGGCTGTGGCCCCCAGTCGGCTCTGCTCAGGATCTGCTCTATTTCAGGGAAGAAGATTTATGTATTATATGTGGCTATATTTCCTAGAGCACCTGTGTTTTTCTCTTTCTAAGCCAGGGTCCTGTCTGGATGACTTATGGGGGGTGGGGAGTGTAAACCAGAACTTTTAATCTATTTGAAGGCGATTAAACTGTGTCTAATGCAAACTGCCTGCCTCCTCCTTCCCCCTTCCAGTTCAAGAACCACCACGGGGATGTGAATGTGTTTGTGTGTAGGGTGGGGGTGGGGGTTGGAAGGGGTTGCTTGTTTTTACCCATACTTCCATTTCCCAGGGTGCCCTTGGGTTGGAGAGGTAGCCCCCAAACTCTCCATTGACCTATACTCCACTCTGGGCTGAAGTTTATCTTATTCAGGATTATGAAGAAAGGACTTTCAACGCTGTATACAATGTGAACAGGATTGGGAGGATAGGGAGATTATATTTGCTTAAGAGAACAAGTTCTTTATTGGGATATTGTTTTTAAGCAGATGGATACCGTTAATTGCAAATGAGCCTTGGTTATTAAAGTAAGCTCATCAGGGCCTCCCCTTGGAAATATTTTGTTAGTGACCTTTTACAAGTGATAGTATATATTTCTTTTTACTGGTGGTCTGTAATCAAGACTCCTTACCCATTCCTATCTAGCTCTTTCCAGTTTAATTAGAATGAATGAAATTTGGCTGCTCCCAGATTTTTCTCTCTGTCTTCCTATTTTTGTTGTAGGGGATTTGATTTTTTTTGGAAAGAGACTGGAGAAAGAATCACTCAGATTCCTCTCCTAGCTGCTTCTATTTTCCCATCCTTTTTCTGGCTCTCTCATTTTTTTTTCCCCTTCGCAGTTAGATTTTAGCTCGTTCAAAACGAGGCCAAGCCTGGTGAGTTTGGAAGCTATTTAGGTTTTTACAGTTAACCCACCACTCATGTAAAACCCCTTTTTAGTCAGCACTCAGCCCATCCTGTCTCAGACCGTCTCCTTTCCTGGGCTCGGATGGATTTCTCTCCTCCCTCAGCTGCCCTCAGTCCCTGTCTCGCAGACCTTCAGGTCACTCAGAGATGTTTTCTCTTTCTGATGTGAAGGGTCAAAATGGAAATCTCTCATCTCTAGTGTGACACGAGTTTTTGAAGTTTCGGCTTTTTCATAATCCCTTCCCTCATTCTTTTCTTTTCTAAGTCTTCTATATTTAAGACTTGTGTCTGAAGATCTGTCCCATTCATACCATACACCAGCTGGGGCCATTCCTAGGCTGAATTCTGATCAGACGGGAGATGGAAAAAGTGATCTTTCCCAGGAAAGATCTTTTCAGTGGCTGCTCTTCTCTCCACCTCTCCCCTTCCTCCCTATTCCTCAGGCTTCCTATGCACCCTACTTCCGCAGACCAGGTGTTGGCACTGATCCAGACCTCTGGGGGCAGAGGACTCGGCCCCATGGGGCCAGTTCTTCACGTCTGCTTGGCTCTGAGGCCTTCCTAGCCTTAGCCAAGGTCATCATCACCCCTTGGCTTTTTCTCCAGGAGCAGGATTGGGTGAGAGGTGGTTCTCATTCTCGAGCAGCTCAGTTCCATGCTTCCTGTCCTGACCGCCCTGCCATTACCCCCAAGGCCCCTTTTCCTACTGACCAAATCTCTTTACCTTGTTGGGGAAAAAAGTATTCTGTTTTTAAATCTATTTTCTAACTTAAATGCAATTTAATATGTAAATCTCTGCACTTTTGTGTGAGCCTATAAATGTGTACGTGTTGGGGTTGTTTCACTCTCTGGTATTTCTTAATAAAGAAATCTTTCTTTTTGGGGGAAGCCAATTAATGAAGGAGACTTGAATGGTTTTAGAAATACAGGGCTGTCTGTTTCTTTGTGCTTCTGCCTCATTTCTTTACTTGTGCCTAGTGAGCAATGGGCCCCCTCCCCCACCTTTTAACCCCCTCCTTTGAGGGGGCCCTCAACTTGGTGGGGCAGAGGGACCTGTGCTGTAGCTGATACCCCTCTGGGACCACTCAGATTGGCTCAAGTGGTAACCTAGCAACCTCACCCCCTCCCTCTCCCCCGGCCTGGCCCTGTTAGTCCTTTTTTTCCAGCTCAGTTCATTTTATACTCCTGAGGCTGAGGCCAGGCTAGGGAAAATCACCAAGGGATGGCAGTAAATGGCTTTTAAAAAACGATAATTTGTTCTCATGCCTTGGTGCTATAAAGACGAGCCATGTTGCCAATAATTCAAAAAGCATTTGATCAATTTTGAGAAGACGTCATGGCAATCTCTTACTGTTCTTAGGGGATCGGTTGTAGAAATAGAATGAAAAGCGAACACACTGAATATCATTAGTTTTAAAGGATGCAAACCCAAATCACAAGAAAAAGACAGTCATGGGGCTGGCAGGTGGCATGGTGGGTAAGGGCACTGGATTCCCACATGGGCGACTGCAGTTCGAGTCCCGGACCTGGCAGCTTGCTTTCTCACTTTCTCTCTCT